GGACTAAGGTGTGAATTGAGTTTAGGTTCGTTTTAGGGTCATGCAGGTACTGTACCTGTTAGGTTAATTTTAGGGTAAATGGTCAGCGTTAGGCTATAAAATTATCAGAAAATGAATGGAAGTCAACCCACGRTCCCCATGGGGATATAAAAACAAATCTGTGTGTGCGTTTGTGAGTGTGTAATGACAATAGAGGCTTACTACAGTTTCATTCAGTTTTCAATTTTCCCAYTTGAACTAGCAGTTAGCAAGTCCATCAGAACTAATCTCTATTTCTACTGAGGTCATTCAAGTAGCTATCTACAGCAGGTAAGATGTTAACTGTTCATAATGTTTCCACAGATCCCCGTTATTACTTTACCACTGAGGGTTTAAAATCACTACATTTGCTACATTCGAGTAAATTAAAACATAAATAAAATACAGAAAAAAATTCAGTTTGTTGCAGCCTAAATCTGAAAATTTGTATCACAAATCAAAATGTCTGTAAATTTGCTGACTGTATTACCCTTTATAAATCAGTCAAAGGAGGAAATGCATCTTCATGAGGTGAGAGAATTTCTCAAAATTGTCACGCTGATAAAAACATTTCTTCAGAACCCCATGGATTGTCTCCAAAGTGCATCAGGAGCATACCAAACCAAAAAGAGTGTTGTTGTTGGTTTTTTTTTTCCACCACTTGTAAAAATGCCAACATTTTGGAGACGCATAAATTTTTATCAAACAGCAGCAATCTGTTTTCACCTTGAAAACCGTGTTACTTAAAACGTCGACTGCTGGGTAGATATCAACACCACTCAGTGGGAGAACAGCACAAGAAAAAAAACATTTATACAGACTGTGAAGGAGAAATATTTTGACAGGTAAACACTCTGCTCTGTTTTGTTTACACYGGAKAAGTACTAAAAATCAACCTTTCTTGTATCACATGCCCTGAGCGTCTGCCTTATATCCCATAATGGTCATTACCCTTTACACCAGAAYAATCTATGTCAGCTCGCTTCCTCCTCTCTGGGATCCATCAGTGTCGCCACCGTACCACCAGCTATCACACGGCCCACTGTTACAGCCAGCATTAAAGCCACGGGCATCGTATGGRCCAGATGAATCACACTCACCCAAACAGCAATAATGAAGCATTTATCTCAGGGTGCATTTCAAACCCTGGGCGCGTGGCAAACACACACACATGGCTGAAGTATGATGAAACAGTGTCAATAACACTCTGCTCCACCATCTGCTCTGCCACTAGAAACACACATGTGATGCTCAAACAGATACAGGGATGAGGAAAAACATCTGAGCAAGGGATTCAGTGTCATCTCGTTTCTTTGGTTTTATATTATTTTTACTTATAAACCTTTTACTTCACGTAATTTATAAGTTTCAGAGAGATATCAAAAGTGAGATTTTGTGTGTGTGTGTGTGTGTGTGGGGGGGGGTGTTGTGTATTTTCCAGGTACTCAGTTGAATTCTATTCCACAATCAAGTAACTATGTTACCTTCAGTTGTCAGGAAAATGCTGTATATATCAAAAATAAATTTGACTTAGCATCAAAATCGATCTAAACGCCTTGAAATTGGCCTCTGTCTCTTTAAGAACCTCCTACCGTTCCTGACACTCCCACTTCAGCATGCTGTCACAGCATTGCTTTCACTGCCCAATCTTTTTCCGGAAGCACAACCCGTACCGACAGCTCATTTGTGCAGGTGCTAAAAGAAATACGTCCAGGGGGGCTTTGTTTGTTGTTAGCACGTAGCATGTAGCTAGGCCGCTTGTTGATGGAGTCGTTTACAGTCTTTCATCACCTACGTTGTCCGTGATGGGTCCACCAGAAAGCACAATGACAGCACAGTCCAATCAATCAGTCCAATAAACAATTTTCTATTGAATTATATTTTTTTAATAAAGTTTGGCAGTTATTGTTCATGAACAGAATTTTAACATTGTCTAGAATAATAGGTCCATTTATAGTAAGTAATATTTGAATTAATATAAATAAATATATACACTTTGTCAATCTATATTTTATTAATATCAGAATATGTATAGCATATGTTATATTAAAACTATGTGGAGCATATAATTTAGCACACTTTATAATTAACCATGGAAATAATTATTTCGACTACCTTTTCTTAACCTGAGTGCATTAATCGGCAATCTGGAAATATTTCTTTTAKCACAAGCGCAAATGAGTTGACAGTATAGATTTTGCTTCCGGGACAAAYCAGATAGTGACAAGTGGTTTGGGAGAGGGGTGCTCTGTGGGCCGGGAGCTCGACTGCAGACTGAACTCCAGGGTGGTGCTTTGTACAAATAGGCGGTGCTTTGTAGCAGCAGGTGTTTAGACAGCTCCACATGGCTACCAAGCTTTCATGAGTGAGTCAAAGCGCCTCTGTTTGTGTCTTTGATGAGAAAATAAYATTAAAACAAGACACAAAGCTCAAAACAGTTGATTTTGTATAATACCCTTCCTTTAAAGGTTCAGCACAAACCGGCTGCCTCAGAGACAGGCTCTTAAGTGGTACAACCAAGGCCGGTGGAAGGTGGTTAATAATGCAGGAAAATGCAGCGTGTCACATTTTCACATGACGTCAACTTACCGCTCTCATGTGCTGGGTTCCTGTAACGTGCTGAAGAACCTTTTCCAGCTCCTTCTCGATGCGTCCAGCCCAGTGAATCATCCTGGGGAAACAAAAAAAAAATTAAGCATATTTAATCCAACATTTAACCTCCGGAACATGTCATTAGACAAGCCTTCAGGTTCTCTATCACTGCACGTGTCCTCACAATGTTGGGAAAATGAGTCCGGTTCTAGCTTCCTGTGGCTTCTGTTGTGTTGGCAAAATGCCATACTCTTCCGCTACGTTTCCTCATCGCTACCTGGAAGTGGCTTTGTCCTGAGCTACTCATCAGCGCCTCCTTTCCCCGTCACATTCTGAATATATCTAGTCGGCCCTGGCAAGGCGGGCAGCAAACGTGCCTGTCCTGCTTCGGATGGGATCAGCAGCTCTGCAATAAAACTGCTCCGGTCTGACAGAAGTGCACCCTAAGCAGGAGCTGATTTCCGTTAGACGGAGCCAAGTTCAGAATTAAGAGATCAAACGGTTGGAGCTCATCACTTTATATCTCTCTGCAAGCAACAAATGACTTAATGGACCTCAGATTTTTCMCTGGATCTTTTTAAAGATGCAGCGAGAGCCAACCTGACAGCCTGGATGTGTGGAGCACAGTTCATGTCCAGGGAAGGGAATCTAAAGGATTTCGGAAAACATTTTTAAAAGTCCCCGGCAATCAGACGAATAAACGCCCGCCATCCGTTCGCCGGCCAGCCGCTGACTCTGTGCCAACCTTTTCTTTTCAGCGGGCCTTGCAGATAACTAATCGCTCGCATCGACGCCACAACACAACGCAGCCGCTCGTCTTTTTAATACAATGACAGAAACAAATGTCAGCTTCAAATGTCAGATTTGCTCAGCAGACAAGGAGGAGGATAGAGTTATTAAACGGCAACAAATCTGCCAAATGGCGTAATCGCCGAGCCGCAGCGGGCCCCCCCGTCAGGAGAGAAACAGCAGACCAAAAACACGAGGCTGCTGCGTTCACGGGGACGAGCTGAGCAGGAAAACAAGAGTGCTTCTAAAAAGGAGACCACTGAGGGGAGGCCGCTTCCTGTGAAAAGGTCAGTTCAATATGAAAAACACAGGGTTAGGGTTGGGAAAAGGTAGAGAAGAACTCGGTGAGAATAACAGCGGAGCCCCCACAAGCCAGGTGGGCTTCTAAGTTCTAATTCAACGACTTTGATAAGAGAAGTTTAAATTTTCAATGTGGATGTAATATGCTCACGCTTCTGCAACAAATGCTGTGCTTCCAGATTTAGGCACAAAAYAAAAGCAGTTTGGACATAAATTTGTCATTTCTCATCAAAAGGTTCAGTTTTATTACATAAAATGATGATCCATGCCTTGTTTTGTTTATATAAACTAATACCTGCCTTTTGCTTACATTTTCATCAAATCATCACACCGTACGATGACTYGAGAGTCCGTCTGAATTACAAAAACCATTGGAAAATATTATTCTACCAAACATTCAGAACTCCACACCCAGCCTAGCCACTGAGACGTCAGCACACAGCTCTTTGCTAAATTGTATGCCCTTCWGAGCTACTGCTGCTAAATGTGTGCTTAGAGACTCTTTGTGTAATAAAAGCTGTGAAATCTCTTTAAAAAATAAAATAAATAAAAATAAAAAAAGCTGCCATGGTTCAGCACATTAAAGGCGACTGATGTTCTCAGGCTCCACGAGGTAATAAACGCTGCCATTTGCCTTTTAGTGATTTTGATGCATTATTTCCTATAATACGATTTATGCTCCCAAAATGTTGCAGAAAAGCAGGAAATGTAGTGTAAATGAGTTTGGATGGAAGACCCTGTGTGCCAGCGACATCACTGTGTCCATTCTGCTCCACGCTCACATGTCTATTAGGCCAGAAGGTTGGCTTTTTTTTTTTTTTTTGATGTGGGGAAATAACATTTTAGTGAGATTGCTGCTGATAGCTTAGCATTATTGAAAAGACTTCATTTCACTCAAATGGGCTGCAGAACAATCTATTTAGAAAGCAGCTATCAGAACTGCTTTTTGTTTTTTATTCCACATCATTTTAACAACCTCGTCTGCCACAAACAGAAACCGTACTGCAATACAATAACTGCATGAAATTAGTCACTTTTAAGTGTTGAGTTGTAAAAAAAAGCTTCTTCTTAGAGGCCCACTGTAAGCTGGAGCACACAAATCTGAGCGTCGTCTGCAGACTGACACACTTACACACACACACAAACTTCTATTATGTGGCAAATTCTGGCCAACACCAGTTATCTGGGTGACCCAAAACCCAGTTTATAAATCCCAAGAGGTGACTGAATATAATACAGACTTAAACAAGGACGCCGCAGACTTGAGGGGAGGCAAGTGGAGCGATTGTTTTAGGATTAAAAATGTAACATTAATCCAGTTTAAGGAAGTGTGTAAAGGAAAAACGGTAAGATTTCAATCTATTTCACCTGCATTCCACCTGAGTGGATTTTAAATTGTGGTTTTAGACAATGATGTGAAAAAAGACTAATTACCTGGGTCACCTTTTCCCTACGATCCAGTTATAGATTTGAATCAATGACAGTCATAGAAAGGACATTTTTTTTGTCCTATTTGAAAGTCACCTTGGACATAGAGATTTTCAAGAGATAATCYGGTGAGTGCATCATAGGGGAATCATCTGGATTCATGTCATTTCTGTGTCTGACTAATCAGAATAAATTCCCTCACATCAGGACAGTAAAACAGAAAAACACCAGCTTGAAGCAGCTCATACACTCTGAGGGTTTTTATAGAAGGAAAACTGACTGATGCAAGGGATACTTTAAAACTTGTGTTTTTTGAGGAGATAGAGTCGAACTATGCAAGTTGGATGAGGCACAGGTGGTAAATTGTTGCATGTAGTTTTACCTCTCTGTGCCCTTTAAGGTGAAATACTTCTACTGTTGATGTTGTGCATTTTGGAAATCATTGCGAAAAGTATTTCCCAACAGGTGCTGGAAAGTCCAACTTCCTACTGGAGCTCATGTTTATCTGCCTATAATGGAATACAACTGCCTTGCTGGAGTAAAGTGCGTCTCTTTTTCAGCTGTGTCTATTTTGGGATTTTGAAACAAAACCAGCTCAAGTTTAAAACAAGAGATCTTGCCCATGATCACACGGACTGCGCGTGCTCGGCACCCAGGGGACTTCACAGATGCTTGCCCCGCAAGAAGCAGCAAAACGCGTCGTTTTTGGTTCCTCCTCGCAGTGTTTGAACATACAAACAGACACATGTGATGAGTGGGAATCATGTCCGCGATGCCGCATCACACACACGGAAGCTGCGCGTGCTGCTGAGCATCAGGGAACATCAGGAACAAACCGGGCGCTGCGTGCAGGCTTGKGTTGGGGGGGCCACCTGTCCTAGTTCGGTTTGTCACCCCCCTCTCCCCTCCCCTCCTTAAAATAAGGGAAAGTACTTACGTGTAGTGCTGGGGGAAGAGGTGAGTCCCAGCTGACGGCGTGGACACGCAGATGATAAGTACAGTTTGGACCGCGAAGAGGCAGAAAACACCGAACGACTGCGCGCAGATCGCCATTTTCCATTAAATATTCAAGAAACTGGGGATAAATAAAGARAAGGAACCGGAAGGACAGTCTCCTCGCAGCCTGAGCTAAGAATAACCGAGCTCCAGAGAGAGGGAGAGAGAGAGGAGGAGGAGGAGTGGAGTGGTGCGAGGTGATGGTTGGCTGCCTGGCGGAGGCTTTCTGGACACTTCAGCCCCGGCAGTGAAGTCTCAATTCGGAGGCGCACACGCAGAACTCGCTGCGTAATAACGCAAGTGGAGGGGGTGGGTGGGAGTGGGGAGCAAGGAGGGGGTGTGGGGTGAGGATGGAAGGGGGGAGGTAAAGCGAGAATCAGGAGGATGCACAGCCGCTGGTGCTGCTGTGCCAGGCAGCCTGTTTGCGCACTCGCTGTCCTCCCTTCCCTCTCTCCACCCACCTCTTCTTCCTTCACTGTCTCCAGTGAAACATCCAAACACAGTGAAGCTTAACACCTTTAAAGTGTTTCCATTACGGCTTTCAAAATAAAACCTGTTGGCGTTTTGAAGGGCTGCGCGCGTTTCCGAGGAGCTCGTGGTTCGGGGGAGGAAAAGAAAGCCTTCACGCTTTTTGTGGCCACAACTGACGCGCAAGTTTTCACCCACGAGCTCCTTCAGCTGCCTGTGAACTCATCCGACGCACGCAGTGACCTCTGTGGGATGATCGGGTTTTATTGTTTTATTTTGTAGGTCTGACTTCCTGTTTTTCTCTGTCTGTCACGCTTGATTCAGCTGTTCCCTCCTCCAACAGCCTGTGCGAAAGACGGGGGCGCGCATCAGGCCACCTCCTCTTTCTCCTCCTCGTGTCCCCACTCTCTCCCTCCCTCCAACCTTCTCCAAAAACTCAGGATTAGAAGCAGAAATCAAGGCTTTATTTTGTTAATTGGAGGTATGGCTCTAGAGGGGCCTGTTGTATTAATTGGAGTGTAAACACAAGGCTGCCCCTTTTTTCTGCTTGTTGTCACATCTGGTTCAGTTGTTGAACATCTGAATCAGGGAAAGAAGACTTTCGAAAGTATTTTTTAAATCTGACATTTGATGATTTTAAACCCATTAAAACCTTTTAAAGGACAGGTCAGATCGTATGATGTGCGGGTTCTGCAGAGAGGTTGAGAACAGCTAATATCTTACCTGCTGAGGACAGATAAACTAACTGCAGGGGTCAATAACCTGCAAGTTTTTGGTTGGTGGCTTCAGTGACTTATTGTAGCTTTGATTAAAGCAGTTATACTGTATATATTTAAACAACAATAAAAAAAAAGGAACACAGACTTTTGGGTCCTGATTCCAGTTAGACTTTAGCAATGAACTTGTGCACCCAGTGTCTTGACCTGTGGGTGTGTTATTTATTTATTTATTTATTTATTTATTTATTTATTTATTTATTTATTTATTTAGTTAGTTAGTTTCCAGATTTGAGGTTTATTTTTCATGTAATGTTTATTTTCTGTTTTATCTTTCAGATTTCATGATCTCCTCTGTGTTTCCCATCAGATGACTTCCCCTGGGCTTTACCCTTATCGGCCTCTGTTCCTCAGTCCTGCTCCTGCAACCTGTCCCCCATTCTTAAGGCCTCCACAAACTTCATTCAAAGCCCAACAGTTGATATGTGGTCATGTGGCTTCTGGGAAACCCCCCTGCTGAGGGATATGTCACTGCACAGGGTTCATCCTGCTGGGGTCTATGCTCCAAAAAAATAAAAATAWAAACTTATCTGCTGTTATTTTGCCAAAGCTGCWAACGAAACAACGCAAATTTCATCATGCAACTGTGACAATGAGAGGGAATTTTGGCATTTCATGTACCTCCTCAGCTCCAGTCTCAGTTTTTACTCAACCTTCAGTCTAGTATTGTTTGTGCTTTGTGCCGTGTCCAGTTCTCCTTTGTGTTTCCTCTATTTTTTATTCTTTTTTGCAAGTATACTGCTGCCATGTGATGTGCATTGAAGTGATATGCATTGTAATCATTGCACACACACAACAGATTGTCTTCTGCATTTAACCCATCACTCGCAAGATACACACAAGTGGAGCAGCTGAACTGTTTGAGGTTAGGTGTCTTGCTCAAGGACACCTCAACATGTGGGCATGGTGGAGAATTGAATCTGTGAATTTCTGGTCCAAGACAGTCGCCCCCATTTCCTGTTTCATGTTTGCCTTTTCGTCGTATTTCATAAAGTTTGATCATTTATATTTATCCAAACTGAAGACATTCAAAGAGGGAAGATATTAACATCTACAACAGGTAAGATGATAATCATTCATGACCTCTCTACAGAACCCTACTTCAAAAGAACTCTGAACTCTCTCTTTAACACAGTCTTGTCCTCTGGACATGCAGTAAGTGAATTATTGTTCATTTTAATGGTGCCGAAGCATGAGTGATGCGCTGGAACCTCAGAGAAAATGTGATTCAGCCTGAGGTTACCCCCCGGAGAGGTGATGATGTGCCCATGTCAGCCGCACGTGAGCGTGTGCTGATACCTGCATCATCATCTGTGCCTTTCCCTGCACACTTTCTCCTCTGAGCGTGCTGATTTTAACATGAAATACTGAACATTTCCATCTAAACAAAACGCGTGTTTGTTGTTCAAATCATGCTGAACAGGATATAAGGATATACAGCCTGTTACATAAGCCATATTTTTGCATATTCTTGTCAGTGTCAGGCAAAGCTTTTTTATAGACAAATATATAAATATGTTTTATTAAAGCAGTTTTCTTCAGAGTTCGGGACACATGGGCCCCCCCTCAGCTGTTCTCGAGGGAATCTTCCAGCTCATCTGGTGGAAACAGCCAGCCCACCCTGTGGCTGTGTTGTCCTTGGTTCAGTCAGTCAGCAGGGGACACACAGGTGCTCTGCAGCAGTCAGCAGGGTCGTTGCGCAGCATTTTCTGTGTCCTCTAACGTCAGAGAAGAAGGAGCTGCTTTAGTAGAGAAGACAGTGTGGGGCGTAGGCCACAGCAGGACAGGGGGAAACCCACCGGCTGGCAGGAATGTAGAGAAAAGTACAGAGATGTCACAAGGTCATTCAGTCAGAACAAATATCTGCTTATTTTCCTGAAAGCTAACCATTTCCTGGATGTATTGAGGAACAGATTCAAGCAAATCTAAAAAAAAAGGCAGAACAGGCCTGTTTTGATTTATCATTCAGAGAATAATAAYGTTAAACATAAGTTTCCATTGCAACAATAATTTATCTTACCTTATTCCCATCATGACAACAAGCAGAAGCTGTCAGAAGGAATAGCCACAGCCTGGTTGACTTAATACTTCTGCTGACTCACGGATACTTTTTCCCACTCTTCTTTCTTTCAAATGTACATCACACATCCTTTTATCACAATTTAACAGGAGCCAGGACAAAGATAAATGAATTTTACTTTGAAAAAGTGAGTGGTTTTCTCTGTCTGAAAAGAGCTGTCTGAAGCAGGAAGGGGTTTTATTTTTTCTGAGCTGTGTGCAAACGTAGCATCAGGGGAAGAATTTTTTTTTTCATTTCTTCTTTTTCTGGCTGCTTCTGGAGCCTCCTGGTGTGGTGGATTTACAAAGACTAAAAGAAGGCTAGTAATAATAGTTAATTAAAAAAAATAATAATAAATAAAAAGGCATGACGACTTTGCTACACAAAATTTGCAACCCTCATGTGATGGTGTTTGCTGGCAGAACGGAGGCGACTCTCACCCTGAGATCTCCCTGAACAGGCTGCAAATGCTTATAGATAATCCACTCTTTACTTATAGCTGATCGATAAGAAATCCGCTCAGTGAAAACATACAGATCGATGAGTTCTGCTGCTCCTTCGAAAGCCGAGAGAGTAGCACACGAGGTAAGTCTCTCCTATCCCGCAGGTTCTTTCTCCGCGTCAGTACAGTTTCTCACAAAGAGGCGGACCTGTCAATCTGTTATTGATCTCCAGAGTCGAGGAGAAGGAGGCAGGTCCGGCTGTTCTGTATCAAACTCCAGCCTCCTTTCTGAGGACTGCTCCCCCAGACTGAGGTCGAGTAGGTTGGAGGAGAATTAATCACTGCTTGTTTCCCCATCTGCAGGCTGCAGGGAAGTCACCCCACACATCCAGACACACACACACACACGCACACACAAAAGCTCTGGCTGCTTATCTTCTGCTTCTTCCACCTTATCCGTCTGTTTTCTCTTGCTGACCTCCTCCTCCGTGTCTCTCTGTGTCCTGGTGTATGCTGATGTTCTGCTGCACCGGACAGAAAAGCAATACTTTACACTCTACGCACACCTCATTCCTCTCAACAATCTTTAAGTACACCAATGTCATATCAATGATTAATGTGTCCTTGAATTTTAAAAATTGTTTGCCCACAGAAACAGGCTAAGTGGCTAAAAATAAGACAATAGAAACGTCATGGAAGAGCTGTTTGGGATTACACTCAGAACTGTTAGGTATTCAGATTATGGTTAGGTTGAGTTGGTAAACTTTTCTATGAAGAACTTTTACAAAAGTTGTGGGTGTTTGAATTCCAAACTTTATCTTTTGGATACTTCACCGTCCTTCTGGATCCCAATGTTTCTTTTTGATAGTTCTGTTACTCCTTTCTCTTTCTTTCACCTTCAGCAGCAGATTCTGTATTTCCACCTAAACATCTTCCTCACAATGCTTCTCCTGTCCAATTTTACCTTATTTGTTACCTACAGACTGCAGCCAGCATAATGTTGGTCAGTCACAAGACTTAAGTTGGTTTACCTCCCAAAACAGAGGATGGGTTTTTGRCAGAAACGAGTTATTTCTTTCTCACAATGTTTGGAAAACTACTGAAGGAAACTTTTACAAACTGCCATAGATGATATAGTTGCAATGAGTATTTTTAATATTTTACCTGTTGACAGCGCTTTAAACAATATCAGTTTGCAGAAATGGAGTTTAATTCTACACGGACTGATGAGCTAACGGCTAGTTAGAGCCGAGAACAAAGCTAACCAACTCTAGTTTATAAAATGTGGGGTTTTCTATAAGCACTATTTGATACATTTTATTTCTGTTGACTTTGCTTTCCAATATTTGTTTCCAACAGAAATATTATGTAAATCCTGCAGGAAGTGCTACAGCTAGCTGCTGCTGCTATTTGCATATAACCTTTCTTTGTGAAATTCAAAACTGACAGAAGTGGGAAGTTTATAATACAGCATTAGCATGCAACATTTTTATAATATTGGTCTGAATGAAACTATTTTACCAGTTTTTCCACAGTACTTTCTTCAAAAGCCCTGGGGTCGGATTTATAAAACTTGCGTACGCACAATTTGAGCCCAGAAACTTGCGTACGCCACTTTTTACGCCAAGGTTGTGATTTATAAAATCCAAACTTGACGTGAAAATGTGCGGTGCCTCACGCCAGCTTTGACCCATGTGTACGCTCTTTTTGGAGACGTGAAACTGCGACACAGATGGTGAAGTGAAGAATTAGAGCCACACTGTGTAATGATCACTGTCAGATATTTAAT